CTATAAAAACATTTATTTCGATACATATATATTTATAAAAATTACAAATCACGTAATACTTTACTTTATAAAAGTGAAACAATAAATTTGTAGGGCCTAGCTTCATCCTGATAAACGACCGAAACAATAAAATTCAAAGAGTCACCAACAAATCTGGGATTATTGAATAAAAATTGTGTATTTTAGTATTTATGAAAAATTTGGAGATATTTTTAATATTTTGTAACATATAGAGAATTTTTTATTCATGATTTTTTTCGTTCGTCTTCGCGGACCCCCTAGGATTTTGCTACGGACCACTAGGGGTCCGCGGACCCCCTTTTGGGAACCGTTGGACTAGACTATAGACTAGACTATAGACTAGACTATAGACTAGACTATAGACTAGACTATAGACTAGACTATAGACTAGACTATAGACTAGACTATAGACTAGACTATAGACTAGACTATAGACTAGACTATAGACTAGACTATAGACTAGACTATAGACTAGACTATAGACTAGACTATAGACTAGACTATAGACTAGACTATAGACTAGACTATAGACTAGACTATAGACTAGAGATAGACTAGACTATAGACTAGACTATAGACTAGACTATAGACTAGACTATAGACTAGACTATAGACTAGACTATAGACTAGACTATAGACTAGACTATAGACTAGACTATAGACTAGACTATAGACTAGACTATAGACTATAGACTATAGACTAGACTATAGACTAGACTATAAACTAGACTATAGACAGCTATAACTAACTATAGACTAGACTATAGACTAGACATAGACTAGACTATAGACTAGACTATAGACTAGACTATAGACTAGACTATAGACTAGACTATAGACTAGACTATAGACTAGACTATAGACTAGACTATAGACTAGACTAGACTAGACTATAGACTAGACTATAACTAGACTATAGACTAGACTATAGACTAGACTATAGACTAGACTATAGACTAGACTATAGACTAGACTATAGACTAGACTATAGACTAGACATAGACTAGACTATAGACTAGACTATAGACTATACTATAGATTAGACTATAGTTTATACTATAGACTAGACTATAGACTAGACTATAGACTAGACTATAGACTAGACTATAGACTATACTATAGATTAGACTAAGACTAGACTATAGTTTAGACTATAGACTAGACTAGACTATAGATTAGACTATAGACTAGACTACAGACTAGAACTATATACTAGGCTATAGACTAGACTATAGACTAGGCTATAGAAAAGACCTTTATCTAATGTCTAATAATATAAATCATGACTTAAGTTTACTCTGATTTCCAAATATGTATATCCCAGGTTGCTGTAAAATGTTCATTGCTAAATAATATACTTTGATAACCCGCTTAATATTATCACTCTCCCCTTAGGTTTGAAGCGTAATTAAGTAGTTGCAAGTAGTGTTCAAATTTCTCCATTAAATCCTTTTACATTATCATGCTACTCTAATTCCTCAAGTGTGTATGAATGTAATTGAGAAATTTTCCAATTTTCTTTCCATTTTCCCACTCTTACTTGCCCTTACCGCCATCTTGCAAGCTGTAATATATTGCAAGGTATTGTAAATATTATTTAGTGTAATCTAAACTTTAATTATTTTTACATTATGAGTTAAGGTATGAAACGTATGTGGGTGTTCTATACGCTCTTTTATACTTTGATATTATGAATCAGCTCTATAAAACTTAAACATGTTGCAAGGATTATGTTGTACTATATTACAGCTTGTGGCATTAGCCATCAGTATTATCATCAGCAACAGCAGCATTATCATCATCATTAGTAATCAATAGTGTTTTGTAATGTAGTAACATTCTTAAAGTAAGAATTTTATACTTTTCTAATGAGGTAAATTTTCTCATATTCTCTAACAATATTATAGTCCTGTCATATTTTTAATTACCATTAGGGAAAAGTTTTAAGCAAAAAAATATGTTAAGTAGTAGTTATGATATGATTATAAAAGGCAGCCTTGAAGTAATTTTAATTAAGGCAAAAAAATATAACAGGCATTGTATAATCAAAAGATACCTTAAATATGGATCTATATAAATGAAATATTTAAATAGCTTCACTTAAGATTACAAACGACTAAAAAGTGATAGTTATTTGCGAGCTAAATTATCTACAATTACTTGAAAACTCGCGTTATGATTTTTCGAGTCGCCTATATACAGATGTATGTTGTACATCTGTTGCCCATGTGGAAAACCTTCCAATTTATTACCCAAATGTTCACAAGGATGCCGAAATTGTTGGTGAAAACTTTAATGAGAGAAACCAGATATACGAATTTAAGTATTTAATTAGTATGGGTGCCACTCCCCTATTCATAGTTGCCATGTTTTCCGAAATTGTTCAAATCTCAATGTTCTGTGTAAATTTGAGTTTCCCAGATATAGTTAGTTAGTTAGTTAGTTAGTTAGTTAGTTAGTTAGTTAGTTAGTTGTAGTTACTTAGTTAGTAGTTAGTTAGTAGTTAGGAGTTAGTTAGTAGTTAGTTAGGTTAGTAGTTAGTTAGTTAGTTAGTTAGTTAGTTAGTTAGTTAGTTAGTTAGTAGTTAGTTAGTTAGTTAGTAGTTAGTTAGTTAGTTAGTTAGTAGTAGTTAGTAGTTAGTAGTTAGTAGTTAGTTAGTTAGTTAGTTAGTTAGTTAGTTAGTTAGTTAGTAGTTAGTTAGTTAGTTAGTAGTTAGTTAGTTAGTTAGTTAGTTGTTAGTTAGTTAGTAGTTAGTTAGTAGTTAGTTAGTTAGTTAGTAGTTAGTTAGTTAGTTAGTTAGTTAGTTAGTTAGTTAGTTAGTAGTTAAGTTAGTTAGTAGTTAGTAGTTAGTTAGTTAGTTAGTTAGTTAGTAGTTAGTTAGTTAGTTAGTTAGTAGTTAGTTAGTTAGTTAGTTAGTTAGTTAGTTAGTTAGTTAGTTAGTTAGTTAGTAGTTAGTTAGTTAGTAGTTAGTTAGTTAGTAGTTAGTTTAGGTAGTTAGTTAGTTAGTTAGTTAGTAGTTAGTTAGTTAGTAGTTAGTTAGTAGTTAGTTAGTTAGTTAGTTAGTTAGTTAGTAGTTAGTTAGTTAGTTAGTTAGTTAGTTAGTAGTTAGTTAGTTAGTTAGTTAGTAGTTAGTTAGTTAGTTAGTTAGTTAGTTAGTTAGTTAGTTAGTTAGTAGTTAGTTAGTTAGTTAGTTAGTTAGTTAGTTAGTTAGTTAGTAGTTAGTTAGTTAGTTAGTAGTTAGTTAGTTAGTTAGTTAGTAGTTAGTAGTTAGTAGTAGTTAGTTAGTTAGTTAGTTGTTAGTAGTTAGTAGTTAGTTAGTTAGTTAGTTAGTTAGTAGTTAGTTAGTTAGTGTTAGTTAGTTAGTTAGTTAGTTAGTTAGTTAGTAGTAGTTAGTTAGTTAGTTAGTAGTAGTTAGTTAGTTAGTTAGTTAGTTAGTTAGTAGTTAGTTAGTTAGTTAGTAGTTAGTTAGTAGTTAGTTAGTAGTTAGTTAGTTAGTTAGTTAGTTAGTAGTTAGTTAGTTAGTTAGTTAGTTAGTTAGTAGTAGTTAGTTAGTTAGTTAGTTAGTTAGTTAGTTAGTTAGTTAGTTAGTTAGTTAGTGTTAGTTAGTTAGTAGTTAGTAGTAGTTAGTTAGTTAGTTAGTTAGTTAGTTAGTTAGTTAGTTAGTTAGTTAGTTAGTTAGTTAGTTAGTTAGTTAGTTAGTTAGTAGTTAGTAGTTAGTTAGTAGTTAGTTAGTTAGTTAGTTAGTAGTTAGTTAGTTAGTTAGTAGTAGTTAGTAGTTAGTTAGTTAGTTAGTTTAGGTAGTTAGTTAGTTAGTTAGTTAGTTAAGTTCGTTAGTAGTTAGTTAGTTAGTTAGTAGTTAGTAGTTAGTTAGTTAGTTAGTTAGTTAGTTAGTTAGGTAGTTAGTTAGTTAGTTAGTTAGTAGTTAGTTAGTTAGTTAGTTAGTTGTTAGTTAGTTAGTTAGTTAGTTAGTATTAGTTAGTTAGTTAGATGGTCTAGATGCAATATTATCTAACTACTTCATTCTTACTTAAGCATTATAAGTACAAATATAACATTTAATTTAATTTCTTCAAAATTGCTGGATCATCCCCATATTTACGTGTCATGACAACTCAGTAGTCAAGGGCATCAAAAATTCCTTTTAAACGACCTTCGTACTTTTCATAATTTATTTATTTTTTACACCTGACACGAAGAAGGTGTTACCACTTCAAATACAAATTACACATTGTTTTACATGAGTAAAATTAATGTTTACACGTCATTTTTGGAATTGATTACAGAATGAGATATGTACAAAAAGAGTGTGTAAAAGTTAGATAATAAATTAATACGAACAAAACGTGTACTTAGTTGCACAAAAATTAATAACAATTATTAGTACTATTTAATTAGCTTTTAATGTTATTGATTAACTAAATATTGGTAATTGAATTAGACAATTTCATTGTTTAAGAGTTATTATTACCAACGATCGAGTTAACCCTAGGTAACGACTTGTAACCAATAAAGTATTCAGTATAATATGAATTTCATATGTAACTACAGATTTATATCAGATAAAACTCTTCAAGTAAACAATCTGTGCAGTTCTTAATAGGATATCAGTGTATTCAAAGGCAACTAGTAGGTTATATGTTTAATGATAACAAGCAATTATTCAACCTACAGAATGTTATAGAAATTTATATTTGAAATGTAAATCATTGCCCTCCTTATTAAGCTATAAGTATTTGAATGCTTGTCGGCATACAGTTTTTATTCGTTTAACCCACAGTTGTCATTTAAATTATCGTCTTTAGTTTTAAAAATTAAATCAACTTCCTTATTATTTAACCCACACTTTACAATACCCAACCCATTTTGTAAATTTATTACATTTACTCCATTAAAAGCCACATTTATGTGCAAATTTTTCCTTTAATTTCTTTTGTATTAAAAACTATCCAACAATAACATCGCCATCATCATCAACTTACCGCATCCTCATTTTCCTCCAATTTACTATAGCTGGCACAATCTTCACACACACGCTGCTGGCATTCGAAACACGTCTTATGGAAGTCATCGGGTTTAAATGATTTCAAACACACCCGACAAGCACCCGCTCGACGTCCGGGTTCTGTATTTGTTTTGAGGAATTTGAAGTGCCACCACCACTACTAATACTGCCACTTGTCGCTGACGTTGTTGTACTTGTTGTATTATTATTATTGTTGTTATTTTGATTTGCCGCTGCAATCCTGTTGCTGTTGATAGTTGCCATAAGTGGCATCCGTATCTGTTGGTATTAACGATGGACGTGGTGACATTTTATTCACTAGAAAAGGAAAAAAGAAAAGGAAAATGTCTTCTTAGTTGCTTTTTGAACAGAATGGAAGAATAGTTGATGGAATAATAATAAGCGACAATAATAAAAATATCTAAAAAGGGGAAATTGCTTAGAATAACAGCGAATAATGTAATTAAATTAAATAAAAGTTATAACGCCATGTTTTTCGACTCTACATACAAATGGAATATCACCAGAAAAGAAACTTCTGTTCTGTTATCGACAATTGTGCCAAGTTTTCATGAAGTCTTTGCAATGACTTGACTACAAATAATTGTTAAAACTAATATTATTGTTGCAATTTATATGCAGAAAACAAAACCTCAGTAGTTTTGTTATTGAATTTGTATAAAATTTTCTTAGTGAACTAAATTTACCATGAAGTAGATTCTAAATGATTTCATTAATAAGAAAATATCTACTTGAGAATTGTTGTATATCATGTGATTGCTTGAATTTTAATGTTAAATGGAACACTTATTATGTCTACGGTTTTACAGCTATTACACACAAAACTACTATAGTCTAGTCTATAGTCTAGTCTATAGTCTAGTCTATAGTCTAGTCTATAGTCTAGTCTATAGTCTAGTCTATAGTCTAGTCTATAGTCTAGTCTATAGTCTAGTCTATAGTCTAGTCTATAGTCTAGTCTATAGTCTAGTCTATAGTCTAGTCTATAGTCTAGTCTATAGTCTAGTCTATAGTCTAGTCTATAGTCTAGTCTATAGTCTAGTCTATAGTCTAGTCTATAGTCTAGTCTATAGTCTAGTCTATAGTCTAGTCTATAGTCTAGTCTATAGTCTAGTCTATAGTCTAGTCTATAGTCTAGTCTATAGTCTAGTCTATAGTCTAGTCCATCTAGTCCATAGTCTAGTCTATAGTCTAGTCTATAGTCTAGTCTATAGTCTAGTCTATAGTCTAGTCTATAGTCTAGTCTATAGTCTAGTCTATAGTCTAGTCTATAGTCTAGTCTATAGTCTAGTCTATAGTCTAGTCTATAGTCTAGTCTATAGTCTAGTCTATAGTCTAGTCTATAGTCTAGTCTATAGTCTAGTCTATAGTCTAGTCTATAGTCTAGTCTATAGTCTAGTCTATAGTCTAGTCTATAGTCTAGTCTATAGTCTAGTCTATAGTCTAGTCTATAGTCTAGTCTATAGTCTAGTCTATAGTCTATAGTCTAGTCTATAGTCTAGTCTATAGTCTAGTCTATAGTCTATAGTCTAGTCTATAGTCTATAGTCTAGTCTATAGTCTATAGTCTATAGTCTAGTCTATAGTCTAGTCTATAGTCTATAGTCTAGTCTATAGTCTAGTCTATAGTCTAGTCTATAGTCTAGTCTATAGTCTAGTCTATAGTCTAGTCTATAGTCTAGTCTATAGTCTTGTCTATAGTCTAGTCTATAGTCTAGTCTATCTAGTCTATAGTCTAGTCTATAGTCTAGTCTATAGTCTAGTCTATAGTCTAGTCTATAGTCTAGTCTATAGTCTAGTCTATAGTCTAGTCTATAGTCTAGTCTATAGTCCTAGTCTATAGTCTAGTCTATAGTCTAGTCTATAGGTCTAGTCTATAGTCTAGTCCTATAGTCTAGTCTATAGTCTAGTCTATAGTCTAGTCTATAGTCTAGTCTATAGTCTAGTCTATAGTCTAGTCTATAGTCTAGTCTATAGTCTAGTCTATAGTCTAGTCTATAGTCTAGTCTATAGTCTAGTCTATAGTCTAGTCTATAGTCCTAGTCTATAGTCTAGTCTATAGTCTAGTCTATAGTCTAGTCTATAGTCTAGTCTATAGTCTAGTCTATAGTCTAGTCTATAGTCTAGTCTATAGTCTAGTCTATAGTCTAGTCTATAGTCTAGTCTATAGTCTAGTCTATAGTCTAGTCTATAGGCTTCTATAGTCTAGTCTATAGTCTAGTCTATAGTCTAGTCTATAGTCTAGTCTATAGCTAGTCTATAGTTAGTCTATAGTCTAGTCTATAGTCTAGTCTATAGTCTAGTCTATAGTAGTCTTAGTCTATAGTCTAGTCTATAGTCTAGTCTATAGTCTAGTCTATAGTCTAGTCTATAGTCTAGTCTATAGTCTAGTCTATAGTCTAGTCTATAGTCTAGTCTATAGTCTAGTCTATAGTCTAGTCTATAGTCTAGTCTATAGTCTAGTCTATAGTCTAGTCTATAGTCTAGTCTATAGTCTAGTCTATAGTCTAGTCTATGGGCTAGTCTATAGTCTAGTCTATAGTCTAGTCTATAGGCTAGTCTATAGTCTAGTCTATAGTCTAGTCTATAGTTTAGTCTATAGTCTAGTCTATAGTCTAGTCTATAGTCTAGTCTATAGTCTAGTCTATAGTCTAGTCTATAGTCTAGTCTATAGTCTAGTCTATAGTCTAGTCTATAGTCTAGTCTATAGTCTAGTCTATAGTCTAGTCTATAGTCTAGTCTATAGTCTAGTCTATAGTCTAGTCTATAGTCTAGTCTATAGTCTAGTCTATAGTCTAGTCTATAGTCTAGTCTATAGTCTAGTCTATAGTCTAGTCTAGTCTAGTCTATAGTCTAGTCTATAGTCTAGTCTATAGTCTAGTCTATAGTCTAGTCTATAGTCTAGTCTATAGTCTAGTCTATAGTCTAGTCTATAGTCTAGTCTATAGTCTAGTCTATAGCTCTATAGTCTATAGTCTAGTCTATAGTCTAGTCTATAGTCTAGTCTATAGTCTAGTCTATAGTCTAGTCTATAGTCTAGTCTATAGTCTAGTCTATAGTCTAGTCTATAGTCTAGTCTATAGTCTAGTCTATAGTCTAGTCTATAGTCTAGTCTATAGTCTAGTCTATAGTCTAGTCTATAGTCTAGTCTATAGTCTAGTCTATAGTCTAGTCTATAGTCTAGTCTATAGTCTAGTCTATAGTCTAGTCTATAGTCTAGTCTATAGTCTAGTCTATAGTCTAGTCTATAGTCTAGTCTATAGTCTAGTCTATAGTCTAGTCTATAGTCTAGTCTATAGTCTAGTCTATAGTCTAGTCTATAGTCTAGTCTATAGTCTAGTCTATAGTCTAGTCTATAGTCTAGTCTATAGTCTAGTCTATAGTCTAGTCTATAGTCTAGTCTATAGTCTAGTCTATAGTCTAGTCTATAGTCTAGTCTATAGTCTAAGTCTATAGTCTAGTCTATAGTCTAGTGTATAGTCTAGTCTATAGTCTAGTCTATAGTCTAGTCTATAGTCTAGTCTATAGTCTAGTCTATAGTCTAGTCTATAGTCTAGTCTATAGTCTAGTCTATAGTCTAGGTCTATAGTCTAGTCTATAGTCTATAGCTTGTTTATAGTCTATAGTTAAATCTATAGTTTAGACTACAGTTAATCTATTGTCTAGTCTATGTTATAATCTATAGTTTTCTTTATAGTCTATTCTTAGTAATTTATTTGTGCACCTGAAATATAGGCAATAGTATTTATCCAACTATTATTTCTTTCATTTTGTAATATATGTACGTATGTCATCGTTTTAGTTTTTCAATTTCCTACCAACTGTCACAGCAAAATTATACTCAACTTTTGTCGTAAATCAAAAGTAAATACACGAACCACATTCAACACTTAAGCAATATTCCTAGCAGTAATATGGACAGAAAATCAATCAAACTTTCGAAAACTTATGTGTTAGAATAAAGTCACTTGTTAAATTTCTAAAGTACATATACTAAGAACTAAATGCTAGTAAAATGAAAAACCACATACTTAGAACAGTAAAATATACTTAAAATATCATTCACTCATAAATTAAATAAAACATTATTCTTGTTTTAAATTGTCTCATTCATTCATTAGTTTCATTTTAAATGAAACAGGTGTCCTGATGATAAGCAGCTCCTAACATTAGTTTGCTTAATGATGTTAGGCAGTGTTTAGAAGCATAATTTATAATACATAGAACCTAGTAGTGCTGGGTATCAAACTATTTCGAAAGCTCTAAAATGGAGCAGAGCTTTAACCACTTTATCATTGTAATGCTCCTGTACGACTTAACTGTAGTAAATTTTTATAATTTTTTTGACACCAGATTCAGTTGTAAATTATTGTACTTGCGAAAGGAGTCAATTGTATCCCTTAATGTAACAGGGTATATTGGATGTTTCTTAGATGTATACAAATTGTTGTAAGTTTTAACCAAAAACTTTTGGAAAATTTCAACAAAAACATCCATAGCTGTAGTCAAACATACTTGCCAACACTTTTTAATAGTTCATGTTAAAGTAACGACACCTTGTCAGGAATTTTACACAAAATGTTTGAATGAAAATTGTCTTAAGTCATTTTATTCTCTACTCTTAAGCAAAAGTGACAAGTTTTAGTAGTTAATTTGGAGCATCTCAAGAGATCGGAAATATTTTTGAAAATATAGGTTTTCCCAGGGTTTTTCATTATAATTAAATTTTTTGTACTTTTGTAAAATTAGACAAGGGCTTAAATAATATTTCGTATTATACACGAAATTTTCTTTAATATTATGAAAAAATTAGTTCCAATTTTTTTTCTTAAAGTTAAACATGGTTTATTTTCAGTGTATATAAGTTTTTACTATAACATTTTTTCCAAAAACTATATTTATGTGTGAATTGCTAAAATCCTTATCTTTTAAAAATCCACTTTTATTAAACGTTTTGTTCCAGTTTTTTTTTTCTTTGCTCTGAAGTATTTCACATATACACATGTCTCACAAATTGCATTTAACTCGTGTATATAAAAAACACTCACAAATATAATCTTTTTACTGGCCACAAATGTATGAAAATATTTCATTTAAAATATTATAAAAAATAGCAATGGAAAAAGAAAAAAATACTTGAAATTTATAGTCACATTGCCAGCGCAAGAGATCTTTGTAGAAATGATAAAGGGAAAGGTAATAACGAATTTTAGATGCCCTTTCTTAGTCCTAGTATGAATTTAAATTAAAATTTAAAACATCTTTGTAATTATTAGAAACACCATTCTTAACAGTTTT